TGAATCTGTGATTCTGTGAGCAACTCAATCTGCCTGCCTGCTTTGCCTGATTTTGGGTAAAAGATGCTCTTTTTTTAATAAAAAAAATTCAATGTTTATATTTATAATAATTTACATACAAGCCATGCCCAGCCAGTCATATGACACTAAGCCACACCCACAAATTAGGCCATTCCCACAGAACCAGTTATTAAGAAATTTGAATCCCACCCCTGCCTCTGTGTGTGTGTGTGTGTGTGTGTGTGAGAGAGAGAGAGAGAGAGAGAGAGGTTAGATCTCTCTCTCTCTCTCTCCCTCTCCCACCAACGTCAGCAAGTCATCGTCAGTCAAAATTCATATTAGTGGTCCCTGAGATTTAAAATTATGAGTTTGGTGGTCCCTGAGGTCCAACAGTTTAGCGACCCCTGAACTAGAAGACCTCCAAGGTCCTGTTCTACTTTGTTATTCCGTTTATCTCCAATTCTTGCAATCCTTCACTTGCATTGCGCCACCATAATCTAACGAATATTCATTTTTCCTGGTTTCCTCCAGATGTCGAGAGAAGAAATATTCGCATGACCTCCCAACCCTTAGCGTGGTCCTTATATTCTTTAACGAGGCTACCTCCATCCTCCTACGTGCAATCACCAGCGTAATTAACCGGACACCGTCTCACCTCCTGAAAGAAATTATCCTCATTGATGATTTCAGTTCAAATGGTAAGTTGCGTGGCCGGAAACCTTTCCCTGGGCAAACCTCCTTTCCGCCAAATGAGAGACTTCTATGGAACTTCAGCTAGCCCTCGACTTACAACGGTTCATTCAGTGACCGAAGTTGCAACGGCATTGAAAAGAAGTGACTTATGACGGGTTTTCACACGTACAACCATTGCAGCATCTCCATGGTCACGTGATCAAAAGTCAGACGCTTAGCGACTGACTCATATTTATGACGGTTGCAGTGCCCAGGGGTCATGGGATCCCCTTTTGCGTCCTTCTGACAGTTAAAGTCAACGGGAAAGCCAGATTCACTGAACAAGTGTGAAGTATGAATGGAATGTACTTTCGATTCCACACCGCCGTCTGCTCTTTGAAACTCCCCCCCCTTCTTTCCGTTGTCAACTATAAAACGTGTATACAAAATGTTTTGTGAGTTGACAACGACTGTGTTGCTAATTTAACAACCTCAGTGATTCACTTAATAACTGTGGCAAAAAAGGTCATAAAATGGGCCAAACTCACTCAAGAAACGTCTCACTTAGCGACATAAATTTTGGGCTCCATTGTAGTCATAGGTCGAAGACTAACTGCTTTACTGCAACAAGAAAGCAGGAAACTTTATTTTAGAGAAAAGGCATAGAGCTGCACCATAGATGCAAGTACAAACTTACAGCATAAGCATTGCCATCTACTGGTTGAATACTGCTGTAGAGAATACCTGAGCACTGTATTCCAACAAGATACCTCGGCACATACGGATACAGATAATCAGAGTTGGAAGGGACCTTGTAGGCCATCTAGTCCAACCCCCCGCCCCTTCCTCTCTGTGGCAGCCCCTCAAATATTGGAAGACTGCTATCTCCCCTGATGCTTCTCTTTACTAGACTAGCCAAGCCCAGTTCCTGCAACTGTTCGTTGTATGTTTTAGCCTCCAGTCCCCTAATCATCCTGGGTGCTCTTCTCTGTACTTTTTCTAGAGTCTCAACATCTTTTTTATAGCGTGGTGACCAAAACTGGATGCAATATTCTAGCTGTGTTCTTACTAAGGCTTTATAGAGTGATATTAGTACTTCCCTTGATCTTGACTGTATCCTTCTGTTAATATAACTTAGGATTGCATTAGTTTTTGTGGCTGTTGCTGTATTCTGCTGGCTCCTATTTAGCTGGTTGTCCACTAAGACTCCAAGATCCCTCTCACAGTTACTGCTATTGAGCCTGGTTTCACCCAGTCTATATGTGTACTTTTGGTTTTTCTTGCCTAAGTGTAGGACTTACTTTTCTCTATATTGGATTTCATTTTATTAGATATGGCCCAGTGTTCTAGTCTGTCAAGATCCATCTGGATCTTGAGCCTGTCTTCTTGGGTGTTAGCTATTCCTGCCAGCTTAGTATCATCTGCAAATTTGGTAAGTTCCCCTTCTATTCCCTCATCTAAGTCGTTAATGAAGATATTAAAGACGGGCCTCAGACAGAACCTTGTGGCACCCCATTGCTTACTTCCCTCCATGTAGACTTAGACCCATTCAGGACTACTCATTGAGTACGGTTTGCCAGCCAGTTGTGAATCCATCTAGTGGTGGTGCTATCTATTCCACTTTTTTCTAGCTTACTAAGAAGTAGGTTGTGGTCTACTTTATCGAATGCCTTGCTGAAATCTAAATATATTATGTCCACAGTATTTTGCTGGTCTACTAATTTAGTCACTGTGTTGAAGAATGAAATAAGATTGGTTTGGCATGATCTGTTTTTAACAAACCCATGCTGACTGCTAGTTATTACTTTACTTGTTTCTAGATGTTGGCAGATCTGTTTTTTTTATTATCTTTTCCAGTATCTTCCCAGCTATTGATGTTAGGCTGATTGGTCTATAGTTTCCTGGGTCTGTTTTTTTTCCTTTTTTGAAGATGGGAACCACATCAACTCTTTTCCAGTCCTCTGGTAGTTCCCCAGTGCTCCAGGATTTTTGAAAGATATGGTGCAGTGGTTCTGAGATGACCTCTGCCAGCTCCTTTAAAACTCTGGGATGTAATCCATCAGGCCCTGGTGATTTGTTTTCATCAAGATCAGACAGGTGTTCTCTTACTATTTTTTTGCTTATTTTAACTATTATTTCTGGTCTGTCTTTTACAGTTATGTTTTTGGTGGGTTGAGCTATAGTTTCTTTTTGCATGAAGACAGAAGCAAAGATTGAGTTAAGCAATTCTACTTTCTCTCCGTTGCCTGTTACTTCCTTGCCATCTACTCTCTTTAGTGGACCGACTGTTTCCTTGATTTTTTTCTTGTTATTTATATGTTGGAAGAAACTTTTTTTATTATCTTTGACTTTTGTTGCAAGTCTTTGTTCGTTCTGAGCCTTTGCTATCCTGACTTCGTCTTTGCAGATTCTAGCTATCTGCTGATATTCTGCCTTAGTTGTATGTCCTTCTTTCCATTTTTTGTACTTGTCCTTTTCTTCTTTCAATTTGCCAAAGAGATCTTTGTGTAGCCATGCTGGTTTCTTCTTGAATTTCTTGTTTTTCTTTCTCAGTGGTATTGTGCTGGTCTGGGCTTCTATGATCATACTTTTCGGAGTTTCCCAAGATTCTTGAGTTGTTTTCCCCTTTAGGATTTTCATCCATGGAATCTTTCCCAAGTTCTCTCTGAGTTTATTGAAATCAGCTCTTTTAAAATCCAAGACTCTGGTGTCATTATGTTATGTTGCTTGTGTTTGTGTTATGTTGAATTCTAGTATGACATGGTCACTCTCATCCAAGGTTCCTGCAGTTTCAACTCCCTCTATCACTTCTTCTCTGTTTGTAAAAATTAAGTCCAGTATGGCTGTCCCTCTAGTTTCACCCTCTACCTTTTGGACAACAAAGTTGTCAGCTAGGTTGGTTAGGAACTTATTTGATTTCTCACTTGGTGCAGAATTAGTTTTCCAATTGATATCAGGATAATTGAAGTCTCCCATTATTGTTGTGTGTTTCCTGCATATGTTTGTTAGTTGGCTGGCAAAAAGGACATCTATGGCTTAAATTATGTTTTCTTTCCAAACATAAGCTAGGCAGCTTTCTTCAATTGCTGCATACACAGACTTGTGGAGGGCAAGATTCTGTAAAATCATCCCAATTTGAAATGTTTTGAGTCTGAAAGAATCATTTCACATGTGTTAAACTCAGAACAAAGCACTCTGAATCCAAGAGTTTCATCGTGAGCTTGCACAATGAAGAGAGAAGAGAGGTAAAACAAGTTTTTCATATAAGCTACAGCCAGCTCTTGCTAAACAGAATATTTGTTCTGTTACTTGGCAAGTAATCTAATAGAATTCCCCTGTTCTGTTCTCCTTCCCACTCCTCCAGTGTAGGGGCTGGAAAGCCTTATGTTATCCTTCTCTGACAGGTGTAGCTTCTCAGGTGATGCTTCTGAATGATAAGCCTCAGGTGATATCTGGCTTGGTCCTTTCCTGAGTCTGACAATCCACAGATTCTACTGGAACAGCTTCTTCAGCTTCAAATTCCAAATCTGAGTCAATCACACCGGAAATACTAATAGATGCTTTTGAAACACAGAATCAGAAGTTAATATCAACAACGTCAATAGGGATGTTTGCTTTTTTTTTTTAAACAAGTTTTATTTTCAAGACAAACAATACATAAATACACATAAACACAAAACATAAAAACATAAAAAATCTCTTTTCTGAAAGTTGCTTAGTCCCGGGTTAAAACTCTTGGTGCAGACACAAGTTCAATTTCATATTCATTTTACATACCATTTCATATCTTATTAACATTTTCAATTTTCTATATAACTTCTCCTCTCCTTTAAATTTTCTCAATTTTTTTTCCTCCTCTCAATTCATATCCTAATATTTATTATTCTTTGTCTGTTCTATTCCAGCCAATCATTTATTTTTCTTCTTTAAAAAAAAGAAGAAATACTTCTCCTGTACACTATATGGAGTATGATGCCTTTATCTTTTTCCCTTATATTTATAGTACTTAATATAAAATACATAACATACATTGGGATTCTGTCTGGTACATTCTAAAATTATACTATATTATCAAAAATAATACAAATCTATTCATTAGTATTGATATTCATTCATATCTTAGACGTTTAACTCATTACTTTTCAATTAAATCACATGCTTTTATGAGAGCCCTATTTTCCATAATTATCCCCTCCCCACATCACATATTATAGCTCAATATTTCGTTGAAATGTTCCTCCTTCTTCTACTTCAAATCTCATTTCACAAAAGATTTTGCTAGTATACCATGTTCTGATCATTAATTTTAACGATCATTTATATCTTAAACATTTTATCCATTTCAATTGAATATCATGCCTTTATGGGAACACTTATGCTTTCCACGATTATTACCCCCCACATCACAATCTTGAATCATATTTCATTACAGTACTCTCTTTTTCTTAACAAAAATTTCACTTATTTATGTTAGATATTTTATCACATTTTAAGTTACATATTATTTCTAATTTTCTATAATTACTTCTAAATACAGATATAAAAATGCACTCTTATGTACCTTTCTAGAATCCCATTAACAATAAGATCTATCCATTATCTCTGAAAAACTTTTGCATCTTAATATCTTGCTCCCCACCATTAGAGCTTCTCATCCCTTCCTTTCTCCCTTGCTTCTTCTTCTCCTTGTCCTCTTTAACCCCTTGTCTCTCCACCTCCCTTTTATTCTGCTTTCCCCCTTTCTGTTGTTTCTTAACATAATGTCCCTTTTTCACCTTATTCTTCTCTTTTTGGGCTGTTTTTTCAAATCTTAAAGACCTCTTTTCCTTTTTCTCTTGCTTTTTCCCATCTCCAATCAAAGTCCTTTTTTCATCAAAGATGGCTTCTTCTTCTTCTTTGTCCCCTCATCCTCATTCTGCTTCGCATAAATATAAACCGCCATTTCTAAGTATTGAAAAATAGTGCCAAGTCCATCTTCCCCTCGTTTTTCTCTTTCATATTTTTGATATATAAGTTCCAATCCATCCACAGATGATGCCATTGTGTAGAGAAAAAGGTTTTCCAAACAACCACCCAGATGATTTAATCAGAAATAATTTCCAAAGGTTCCAAAATCACCAAACAATCCAAACAGACTGTTTCTTTTAAATACCTTCTTCTTCTTCACTTTTTCTTTCTGAGGTTAAAGTAATCACAAATCCTTTTCAAATATATTTTTTGGAAGTTTTTAAACTCTTTGCAATTCTAGGCAATCTTCTTATTTTCAAATTTTGCTCTGATTTTTTTTTCACTCTCCCTTCCCACTCACAGCCAAAAAGATTTTTTTTTTCCCGCTGTCACTTTAGGAAGGAGAGTAGAACAAAGAAAAAAAAAACTTTCCCCTTTAGGGTATTCGCAGCTTGTGGCTCTCACAAGGAACAATATATCCTTAACAGCTTTCAAGGTTCCAAATCACTTTCTCCCGTCTTGTCCCGGTTAAAAGCACCTTTCACTTTCTCCAGTTTTCTCCCTCCTGCACTTGCTTACCCGGCTGCAGCTTTCTTCGTGGCGGCCATTACTGACCGCCGTTCCTCCGCCTCGGGAAAAGGGAGTTTAGCCGGCTGGGGAGGGGGTTTGCGACACCCCCAAACCCCTTGCCGGATCCCCCTATCTTCAGCTGCCTCTACGGGGCAGCTATATCCCCCAGATCCAAATGGATCGGGGGAACCTTGGCGGCGAACGCAGCAGTGATCGCGCGGTTGCAAATCCCTGCCGCCGCCGAAGGCTAGCAAACCGGAAACCCCCAATAGGGATGTTTGCTTTTATGGATAGACTGTCCTCCCAAAAAGTGTTATGGAAGAAGAGGAACAAGTTTTATCTGACAAGGGAGAGAGAGACAGCAATCATCAAAAGTGGATCTATAAATGACAGGCTACAAGATTGATGTGAAGAAAATATTTTATTGGCTGCACAAAAGAAATCGATTGATGCTTTAAAAATCAAAAGGGAATTGCAAATAATATGCCAAAAGAGTAACCTGGATAATTCTATTGTATTGGATTTACAAAAGAGATTTGTTAAAGCTTGGATAAATATTGCAAGAAAGAGTAAAAGAGAAATGGAAGCTAGAAGTAAAAGGAAAGAATATAAAGCTGGTTTATTTGAGCAAGGTTAAAATGGATCATTTATCCAAAAATGACAGTTTTTATTTCTGGCAACCCTTAATGGACTTTTGGAACTGAAATGATAATGCTTTATGGATTTGCTTATAGCTAAGAAATGAAACAAGGGATGAAGAGATCATTGGTTGCAAATTAAGAGAAGGTGAAAAGTTACCAAAATTATTTACGCATGTTGTGATGAAAACTGGAAGTCATTTCTTTATATAGTCCTTATCTTCTTTGCCATTTTCTTTGTTTTTCATTTTCTTTGCCTTTTTATTCTTTCTATTCTTTCTTTTAGTTTGTATTACTTTTTCCTATTGCAATTATAATCTTCAATAAAATTATTTTTAAAAATGAAATATAAATGGAGATGATTAAGATTCAATTGTTGTAGAATATGTCTGATTATGGGGACATTATTGCAAACTGTCAATATAGATCCTTCTAATTTTATCTTTTTAACAATTTGTAAGCCATCCAGATTTGCTAGGAATTGGGTGACATATAATTGCAATATATTACGGTTTGTCATAGAGTCAGCCAGATGTTAGACTAAATTTAACATTTATAACCATCTATTGAGTCCTTCCCAAGAACCTGAGTTAGGCAGAGGATTATTTTGGCGTTAGAGGTATTGTCGCAGGATTTAAGCTGTTCCAAGTAAAGTTGCTTTTGTGCAATTGACTGATGGTGAATTTGTCAATGCCAAAGATGTTCAAATGGTTTTCAAAATATTTTGGAATTGCACCTGAGGCCTCTATTACTATTGTCATTATTTTTGCTTTCTTTTCTACTTCAATATGCAGGCCTTTGCATTTTGTGATTTTTCTCCAGTTCTGTCTCTTCTATTTTGCTGTCTCCAGGTACCATAACATCCACTATACAGTCTTTTTTGTCTTTGATATCAATAATTGTTAAATTGGGGTGTTATGTGGCAGGTGCTTGGCAGGACAATTAACAATTAATCAATGTAACCGTTTGCCTTCAGACGTTTTGGGTGCTTCATCACTGGAGGTTTTTAAGAAGAGACTGGACAGTCACTTGTCTGAAATGGTATGGGACCTCCTGCTTGAGCAGGGGCTGGACTAGAACAGTGATTGCCAAACAGTGGGCCGGGGACCACTAGTGGTCCGTAAGAAAATTTGGATGGTCTGCAGAGAAATGACACCCCCAAAGTAGTTAATCCAGGCTGCAAGGGAACACAAGGCTGCGCTGCCCACATGGCCCGTGGGAACACAAGGCTTGCGTCGCTTGCATTGTGAGCAACACGAGGTAGTGAAGGGAGGGGGGAAAGGGTGGAGGGGGGGAAATTGCCCTACTTGCCCATGCGCCTCGCCTGGCCACCGGGCTGCTTCTTTCTTCTTCTGCTTTTGGCTGCACGCAAGGAAAGCAGCAAAAGTCTTTCTTTCACTCCCTCCAACTCTGCCAGAAATGAATATTTGGGACCCTGCAAGGCCTCCTGCTCCAAGAGGCTGTGCCGGCAAAGATTCATTTCTGGAGGAGTTTGGGGGAGAGAAAGAAAGACTTCTGCTGCTTCTGCTGCTTTCCTTGCATGAAGCCAAAAGTCTCCCCCCCCCCCCCCCCCCCGAGAATGGAGCTGGAGACAATATCCTGCGATCCCAAATAAAGAACGATCGATCAGTAGGAAAACGGGGTGGGGAATTTTCCTGCAGACTTTTTTTGGGATTTTCCCAGGGTCTCTGGTCCATGGGATTTAAAATTATGAGTTTGGTGGTCCCTGGGGTCCAAAAGGTTGGCGACCACTGGCCTAGAAGGCCTGCAAGGGTCCTTCCAACTCTGTTCTGATTCTGACTCTGATTTTGTTTGAATTCTAAAGACCCCAAGCAATTTAGCTTCTTCATTTTCTGTTACTTGGTCTATTTTCGTGGCTCCTCACAGTTCTTGCTTGCAGGCCAAAGCTATTTCTTGCAGACATTCCAATGTACTGTTGTTACTACTTTGTCATGGTTGTGTGTGCTCTTCTTCTTCTTATTTTAATAACCAAATATCTCTCAACTTTATTAAATATAGGTAGTCCTTGATATATTATAATTGTCCTTGACAATTGAGTCCAACATTTCTGTGGTTCAGTGAGACTTTTGTTAAGTGAATTTTGTCCCATGTTACGGCCATTCTTGCCACAGTTGTTAAGTGAAACTCTGCAGTTCTTAAATTAGTAACATGGTCATTAAGTGAATTGGCTTCCCCATGGACTTCGCTTGTGAAAAGGTCGCAAAAGGGTATCACATGACCCCAGGACACTGCAACCGTCATAAGTATGAATCAGTGGATAAGCCTCTGAATTTTGATCACGTTATCATGGAGATCCTGTAACCGTCATCAGTATGAAAAACGGTCGTAAGTCATTTTCCTCAGCCCACTGTAACTTTGAACGGTCACTAAATGAACCTCCTTGTAAGTCGAGGACCACATGTAATGAAGACAGAATGGACATTTTAGCTGTGTAACAAAAGTGGAATTTCCCCCTGTATTCTGGCATGAACCTTTCAAGTTGATACTGTCAAAATCTGCTGCATTGTTGGTTTGTTTTTTTTGCCAGAGGAACTTAAAGGTCCTTTGGAAGAACATATCAAAAAATTCAACGACAAACATCCTGGATTGCTGAAGATTGTGAGACACCAAGAAAGGAAAGGCCTCACAGAAGCTCGGATTTCTGGCTGGAGAGCATCTCTAGCAGACGTGGTGGCCATTTTGGACGCGCATATTGAAGTCAACACTAACTGGTAAGCCTAGATTAGAACATCATCTGTCTCCGGAGAATACCTCAACAGATCCATTGCAGAGGGGGTCTTCAGCGAGTTCTGACCAGTTCTGGAGAACTGGTAGCGGAAATTTGGAGTAGTTTGGAGAACCGGCAAATACCACCTCTGACTGGCCCCGCCCCCATCTATTGTCTGCCTCCCATTGAGTCCCAGCTGTTCCTCCCCACTGTCCGACTCTGCTGCCAGCTCCGCAGGTCGGCGGCAGACCACAACAATAATATTCAGATTGCTCTTTCTCCTTAATTGCCAACTTAGATCTCTTGTGGGCACGAAGGGACTCGAGACTAATGACACATTTGACCTCTCTCTCTGGCTCAGCCTGGTCATCTCCTACATGGCCCTTTAAAAAAAAAAACTTGTGGAATTAAGACTAGTATTTCTTTCTTCTCTTTGTTATTTAAAATCACACAGTGTCCAATGGTGGTTGGAATCCATTTCTTGGATGGATAAAACGTAATTGAATCACAATCCCAAAAAGAATGAGTCAAGCAGAAATCAAACGGGTCAGGGCAGACTTTAGAATTAGCTTCTTCTTTCAACAGGCAGCTTCGGATAGGAGTCCATGTTACAGGCAGGAAGTTTTAAGAAAAAGAGAAGAGAGCATTGATTTTAAAAGTCCTACATAGCTCCATGAACTCTCTTCTGCTTTAATGAAGGGCTGAACCAATCCTCTCTCGCATCAAGGAGGATCACACCGTTATCATATCACCGGTGTTTGATAACATCCGTTTTGATGACTTCCAACTCACTCAGTACGCCGAGGCTGCTGATGGATTTGACTGGGCTCTTTGGTGTCTCTACGAGCCCATACCAAAAGACTGGTTTGCACTGAAAGACCAAACAGCACCAATCCGGTAAGTTATACCGATACAGGCTGGAGCTGGTATCGCCTCAACTTTCCTGGAATGTAAAATAAGAGGGATTTTTTTTATTCATGTTGTTTCTTGTTACCAATGATACTACAAGCCAGCAAGGTGAAAATATTAGCTGGTCCCTCCAGAAGCTGAATCAGAGGAGGAGGAGGAGGAGGAGGAGGAGGAGGCGTGGGAGTCAGGCTTAGCATCAGGGCAATCTGGAAGCTCCAAGGGGGAAGAGAGAATGGAGCTGTCAGAGATAAACACAGAGGCGGAGACTGGGCCGTCTGTCAGCCCTCAGATGGAGAGTCAACAGCCCCCAGGTCTGGAGGTGGCTGATGAGGAAGAGGTGGAACAGCTGGGTCCAGTGCCTGACGCACGGATGCGCAGAAGGCAGAGGAGAGGAGAGCAGTGGAAATCTATGGGCTGGTCCTTGGGACAGAAGAGCCACCGCTGCTAGTGAGGCCCCACCCTAGCTCTGGGGATAAAAGGCAGGGGTCAGAGATGAATAGATGTGGCAGACAACTATTCATCTTCCGGCCGGACAGACTTGTTATCCTGCGTTGAGAGAGAAACTTTTCGCCGGGACTGCCGGCGCTCCTAATAAAGGAATCTTTGAGTTCACTTCAGAGGCTTTGTCATGTTTGAAAAGCTGGGTCAGAACAGCTGGGTAATGCTAGAAGCTCCTGCCCACCTAGCAGTTTGAAAGCATGCAAATGCGAATAGATAAATAGGTACCACTTCAGAGGAAAAATAACAGCGTTCCATGCGGCTCGGTATATAGTCATGCTGACCACGTGACCATAGAAGCATCTTTGGACAATGCTGGCTCCCTCAGAGATGATCACTGCCCCCCCCCAAGGGTCAGACATGACTAGACATGGGAAACTTTTACCTTTTCATTGCAGAGGACTGTACAGGTAGTCCTAGACTTACAACAGTTCACTTAGTGACCATTCAAAGTTACAACACCACCAAAAAAAGAGACGTATGACCATTTGTCACAGTTATGACCTTTGCAGCATCCCCATAATGATGCTGATCAAAATTCAGACCGGTTCACATTTATGACTGTTGCTGTGTTCCAAGATAACTTTCTCACAAGCAAAGCCAATGGGGAAGTCGGATTCACTTAACATCTGGGTTACTGCAGTGAGTCCCTTAACAACGGTGGCCAGAAATGTCGTAAAATGGGGCAAAAATCACTTAACAAAGGTCTCACTTAACAACGACAGAAATGTTGGGCTCCATTGTTTTCATGAGTCGAAGACGACCGGTAAATGTGTGAAACAGTCTTAGCATATCTTCAATGAAGCAATATGTGATGACCAGGGGCATGGCACAAAGGGAACCCAGCCAGATAATCAGTAGAGGTCCCTCTATTAGCTCCAAGTTTGCCCCCAGTGTCCCGGTTATCTTCTGGTCTGGAGAAAACCTCTCCCATGAACCTGCAACAGCCTTTGACTGCAGATATTCCAGTCCAAATGTTGTAAACTGAAAATTTTAAACTATAAATCCAACAAAGCAAGATAAGGTAATTAAATCTGGTAGAGCAACATATGGAGTTCCAGAAATGAAGTAACAAAGCAGAAAATCAAACCAGTTGGGTAGATGCCAGGAACTCAGATAACTGCAGCCAACCCAAGATAACTCAATGTTTGTTCCTGACAAACACCCCTCCCAACTGGTTCGCCTTTAAACTCCCTCCCTAAGGATGCCTTGTGAAGGGAATCAGGGCCCTTTCCTCCCTCATAAGCGACGTTGCTCTCTTCTCCATTCTTCTCTACATGCCCTAGGATGAAGAGGGGGTGGGCCTTGGTCTTCCTCTGAACCCCCTCTTCCCTGCTCTGCCCAGCCCTGACTTTGCCCTTCCCCAGTTTCCACCACAGCCAACGGAGCCACTCTCCTGTTCTCTGTCAGCTGTTCGTCTTCCTCCTCGGATTCAGACGCATGACACAATATCTCAGGCTCCAAGAACCAAGAAAGTCATGCAAAGTTTTTTCTAAGCCTCCTACAGACAGAATCTTGCCAAACTAAAGCAAACAACTGGCATCATTCAGGATATTAATCTTTAAAACTTCTAGGAAGGAGCCATCTTAACTCTCCCCCAGCCAAACGACATAAATTTCTCTGTCTCTTGGTCCTCTGGAATGAAAATTAATGAAGTATCTGTTCTGACCCAAACCTTGTTACATGTAAACAAACACCAAACAGAGATAAAAGCAAAACCTTTTAATGCTTCTCTGTGACTTCCGTTAATTACCGTATTTATCGGCGTATAACACGCACTTTTTTCCCCCTGAAAATAGGGGGCAAATGATGTATGCGTGTTATACGCCGATATAATGTTAAGAAGCCAGCGGAGGCCGGGCGGTGCGAGCGGAGGCCGGGCGGTGCGAGCAGAGGGCATTATTTTGCATTATTTACCTCAGGGGTCCTCAACCACCGGGCCGCGGACCGGTACCGGGCCGTGGAGCACTCTCTACCGGGCCGCAAAGAATTTTTTTTTTAAAAAAATGGCGGCTTTCTTCACCTTCGGTGAATGCTGCTGGGATCGGGGATCAAGGACACAAATGAAAGAAGGGGAGGGAGGAAGCAACCGAAGCCTGTCCTTCTCTCTGGGTCAGCTCTCTCAGTCGCTCTCTCGCTCCTCCACCAGCACAGGAAGAAACTGCTTCAAAGAAGCGGGGCGGGGGGCTTTTCCTGTCGCCGCAGCTTCCCTGAAGCGCCCGTTTCTCCCCCACCCCCACCCCGTCCGCCCGCCCACCCGCCCGCAGTGCTCCGTTCTGCCTGCCTGCCTGCCTTCGTTAATGGTTGAATCGGAACAGCTTCGGCTGAGTAAAAGAGGCGAATAGTTATTATTCTCAGCCGAAGCTGCTCCCAAACAACCAGAAACTAAGGCAGGCAGGCAGGCAGGCAGAATGGGACACTGTGGATTGAAGCGCGCGCGCGGGGTGGGAGTGGGGGTGAAACGGGCGCTTCGGAATAGCTGCGGCGACAGGAAAAGCCCCCCCCCCCCCCGCTTCTTTGAAGCAGTTTCTTCCTTGGATGGTGGAGCAGCGAGAGAGCGAAGCCTCCTTCTCTTCTCTTCCCCCCCCCCCGGTCCTTGCAAAAATTTTCTGCTTGAAACCGGTCCCTGGTACAAAAAAGGTTGGGGACCACTGATTTACCTTATAAGTGGTAATAATATTAATAAAAAAAAAGTTCTGAGCTACCCTTATTTTGCTTCAAAGTTTTTATTTAGAAATTTAATTTTTTTTCCTGAAATTTCCCTCTTAAAATGAAGATGCGTGTTATACGCCTGTGCGTGTTATACGCCGATAAATACGGTAATGGTTAAAAGGCTATTAAAACTAATTGTCTCTGATAAGAATGAGCCTTGCCAAGGTTGTGCAAGGCTGCCAAAAGCACTAGATTAAGTTGCCAAGAATTATTCCCAAAAAAAGTCTTCAAACAAAAACCAAGAGAGTCCGAACTTCCACAAGGCTTGAAGTGCAAGAACTTCTTTGCTTCCTGCAAAGAACTCCGGTTTCTCAGCTGACTTTTATCTCTTAAGGGAGAGTTGCCCGTGCTGCAGCTGCTGCTCTTTCCTTCAAGCAGACCTGCACACATGCGCACTGGGCCCAGGCTCCTCAGGAACCTCTTCATCACTGCTGCCAGCCTCCACAATCTCCGAAGGCAGCACTCCACTCCCTGATGGTCCTGGCCCCATCCCTGCATCACACACAGGCCCCTCATCTGAGTCCTCGCTCTCCAAGACCTCAGCCATCCTCACCTGCTGCTGGCGAACCACAACAGTATTTTTATCCATTCCCTACTTCTGTTTAATGGTCCATTCAAATATTAGCAGGTAGATAAATATTCCTGAATAAAAGTCGATGATCCTTTTTGTGTTCTTTGTCTTAGGAGTCCTTCTATTATGGGAATACTTGCCGCGAACAGAGAATTTTTGGGAAAGATTGGCGTTCTGGATGGTGGAATGCACATTTATGGAGGAGAAAATGTGGAATTAGGCCTCAGGGTCAGATTTATTTTATTTTATTATTATTCCTTTGTCCTTTTTTTTTAAATACCAGTGCAAGTTAGTGGGGAAGCCAGATTCACTGACTTGACAACTGACTTGTGACTGACTTGACAACTGCAGTGATTCACTTAAGAACCGTGCCAAGAAAGGTTGCAAAATGGGGCAACCACTGTCTCACTTAGCGACAGAAATTTGGGGCTCAATTGTGGTCGTAAGTCGAGGACTACCTATATCATAGATCAGTTGGAGAGGAGAGGAGGAGGGTGAGTCTGGGTGTTGCCTTGTTTTCTCAAAGTAAGTGTGGGGCATTGCTGGGACCAAGGGAGACAAGCTTATAGATGCAGCCGATCAGAGGACTGTTGTGAGTTTGCCTAGTGGGTAGAGCTCCTTTCCAGTGGTCGGATTCAACGGGTGTATCAAACGTGAGTGCAGTACGTTTGAAAACAGGAAGAAAACTTACCTTTTACTGCAGCCCTGGTGAGTAAAAACAGCTGAGGTGGGGCAATTCACTCAGCCGTGCCAATCAGCTGAGCTTCAAACAAAGGAAATATAGGACAAAATAGTGGGTGGGTGGGGCCAAATGATTGCTAGAACTACCGGTTCGCCCAAACCGATCCATACCGGCTGAATCCCACCACTGCTCCTTTCCTCAGTTACCAATTTGCTGCAGCCAGGATTCTTGAGGGGGAAAAAAAAGAGTTGTATAGAACAGGAATCTCCAACCATGGCAACTTTAAGCCTGGAGGACTTCAACTCCCAGAATTCCCCAGCAAAGCAAAACAAAGCAAAGTTGGCAGGGGAATTCTGGGAGTTGAAGTCCACCAGGCTTAAAGTTGCCAAGGTTGGATACCCCTGGTATAGAATGTAGAATTATAGGGCCGGGAAGGACCTTAGAGGTCTTCTAGTCCAACCTCCTGCTGAAGACAGGAGACCTTATATCCTTGATGGCGAACCTATGGCACATGTGCCACAGGTGGCATGCAGAGCCATTTGTGCCGGCATGTGAGCTGCAGGCAAACTTACCTCACTGCGCATATGCATGCCTCACAGCTGATTTTTGGCTGGTTTGAGGCCTTTTTCGGCCTCCCAAAGGCTTGAGGAAGGCTTCTGCAGGCTTTGCAGGCCAAAAACTAGCCCCGTTTCATCACTCCCGGGTATTTTCTGGAAAACAGGAAGTGACAAAATAGGGCTAGATTTCGGCCTACAAAGCTTGTAGAAGCCTGCAGAAGCCTTCCTCAAGCCTTTGGGAGGCCGAAAAAGGCCTCAAACCAGCCGAAAATCAGCTGTGAGGTGCAGTGCAGGTAAGGGGGCGGTGGGGGTGGGGGGTGGGATTGCACACGCATGCATAGGGGACATGGAGGGGGTGCACATTGCCTTCTGGGTGCTGGCACGCAAGCCCAAGCGTGCAAGCACGCACACAATTTTTGGCACAGGAGGCCAAAATGGTGAGCCACCACTGCCTTATATCATCCTGGTCGTTGTCCAGACTATTTTTGAAAACCTCCAGTGATGGAGCACCCACAACTCAGTGGAAAAAAGGCTATTCCATTGATTAATCATATTCTTATTAAAAACAAAACCTGAAGCAATTGTATTCTTATTTTACAACCACAGGCTTGGCAATGCGGCGGAAGTGTTGAGGTCTTGCCGTGTGCAAGGATTGCACACTTGGAGCGAGCCCACAAGCCTTATGTACAGGATGTGTCCCTTGCTGTGAAGAGAAATGCCTTACGTGTAGCCGAAGTGTGGATGGATGACTATAAACACATGGTCTACTATGCCTGGAATGTACCTCTTGAGGTTGTAGGCAATTTTTATCTATGTCGGAAGTCGATCGATCGATCAGAATAGAGCTGGGAGGGACCTTGGAGGTCTTCTAGTGCTATATCATTTCAGGCAGGTGAAGACAGGTGAAAGACCTCCAGTGAATGGAGCACCCACAACTTCTGAAGGCCAAGCTGTTCCACTGGTTAATTGACCTCCCTGTTAGGAAGTTTCTCCTTAATTCCAGGTTGCTTCTCTCCTTGATTAGTTTCCATCCATTGTTTCTTGTCCTGCCTTCTGATGCTATGGAAAATAGATTGACCCCACTCTTCTTTGTGGCAGCCTTTCAAAGAAGAGGGGTTCAACCTATTTTCCAAAGCACCAGAAGGCAAGGCAAGAAACAATGGATGGAAACTAATCAGGGGGAGTTTAATCAAGTATTGTAGTTGAGCCTGGAATGAAGAGGCAGAGAAAGGAAATGGGTTAAAATAAGTCCACAGCTTTGTTGATTTGAAGCTCAAGAAAAAAACATTCAACAGAAAATTCTTTCCCTCTTAGTTGTCGGCTCGGTAGATATTCAAAGATCAGGAGCTGAGAGGTGGACAAAAATTGTTTGTCCTCCAATCAAAACTTTGAAGAAACCTCTGTCCTAAATCACATCTTGTGGAAAACTAGGACCTAAAAATACATATTTAATTTAATTTATTCTCATTGTTTATTTTTATAAACAACTCAATGAGGCAAACCTATCTAATACTCCTTCTTCCTCTTTTTCCCCCCTTCACTCAGAACCACCCTGTGAGGTGGGTTGGAGAGAGAGAGAAAGAGAGAGGGGGGGGGGAGAAAGAGAAAGAAAGAAAGAAAGAAAGAAAGAAAGAAAGAAAGAAAGAAAGAGAGAGAGAGAGAGAGAGAAAGAGAGGGAAAGAGGGTGAGAGAGAGAGAGAGAGAGAGAGAGAGAGGCCCAAGGTCACCCAGCTGGCTTTTATGGCTAAGGCAGGAGTTGAACTCACAGTCTCCCATTTTGTAGCCTGGTGCCTTAATCACTCGACCAAACCAACTCTCCTTCCTTCTCATCCAGAGCTCCACATTATAATTGGCAGGCCCAGATAATTCCTCTTTGCTCTGTGGCATATTTAAATAATTATTGTACTCATTCAGATATGGAGAAGAGCAGCAGAAGCCTTAGCAAAGATTTTGGCAGTGTGAAAATATCACAATTGCCTATGATATTCTGGTTCAATAACTGGCAAAAAATTGAACCAATAGTTGACTTGAAAATTGTACAGTACTCAAAAGTCTCCTCATGAAACCAAATAAAAGGAATTTCATGAGGGTCATCCCACAATCCCTCCACATCCATATTTCCTATTAATCGCTTGGATGATAAATGGAAGACCTGGTGGCTCAGTGGCTAAGACGCTGAGCTTGTCGAACAGAAAAGTCGGCAGTTTGGCGGTTCAAATCCCTAGCGCAACATAACGGAGTGAATTCCCGTTACTTGTCCCAACTTCTGCCAACCTAGCAGTTCGAAAGGATGTAAAAAAATGCAAGTAGAAAAATAAGGACCCCTTTGGTGGGAAGGGAACAGTGTTCCATGAGCCTTCGGCGTTTAGTCATGCCGGCCACATGACCAGGGAGACATCTTCGGACAGTGCTGGCTCTTCAGCTTTGTAACGGAGATGAGCACCGTCCCCTAGAGCCGAAAACGACTAGCACATATGTGCGAGGGGAACCTTTACCGTTACCTTACTTTGAGCCCTTATTATAAAAGTCTTTCTTTGTTTGTTTAATGATTTGATCCTCATTCATTCTCTCTATATGAACTGAAGACCAGAATAGCTGGAGGACTATTTTATTATTTGTTTTGTTTTGTTTTGTTTTGTTCTGTTCTGCTCTGTTCTGTTCTATTCTGTACTGCCCATTTTGTCCAACTTCTCTGTCTCTTCCTCTGAACAGCCCTCTATTACTGTGGAAATTAAATTTTTGTGGATATATTATGTCTGAAATAAAGTCCCTCAGGTTTTCTTTCCAACTTCTCTAAGTATAAATTGAATCATTTTAAATACATATTTGGCACCTCTTTGAAACCGATGTCCTCCTTTTCCAGAATTCTGGGATCGATTACGGAGATGTTTCTTCTAGAAAAGAACTGAGGAAGCGACTGAACTGCAAAAGCTTTGATTGGTATATCAAAAATGTCTACCCTAACTTGGTCCCTCAGGTGAACATTGTAGGCTATGGAACAGTAAGTAAAAACTGGTAAGATGATATATTGTTTGCTTTTTAGTTAAACAGCACATCACTTTATTTGAAGAGTCCACACACAAACACACACTGTTTTTCTAATGAGGTGTGTGTGTGTGTGTGTGTGTGTGATATAGTTATAGATGATAGATAGATAGATAGATAGATAGATAGATAGATAGATAGATAGATAGATAGATAGATAGATA